TACGCGTTTTCTTTTTAAGACGTCGACTGGCAGTTATTTCTCCGCCATTCATTGCTTTCAACTGGGCCATTAAAAATACATCTTGTTCGGATCTAGAGAGAGCTTGAAACGCCTCACGTAACTCGGCAAAATTTTCTCTCGAAATCTTTTTTGAACAGCCACAATTGCAACCTATCTCCAGGAAGTGTATTGCTTTTTCATATTCAGTCGAACCGTTATAATTATAATTTTCCATATACGGGTAATCCTATATATTAATTTTAACGGTAAACCTGTTTGACTGGTTAGATTTCTGGTCAAAAAAACTTATTATTTATTCTTTTGGAATAAAATTAGAAACAGTAATAACAGTATCCTTTATTGTTGAACGTGTAGTATTTTACATGTGATTGATGCAAGTTCTATTTTATTATGTATTAGTATGCAGATTTATAAGACGAAAGTTGAGTAAGCAAATTTTACTTCTAAGCAATGATAACAGGGATTCTATTGATTGTGAGGTCAGTTAGAACTGCTTCTCACCAGGCCTGTTGTTCAATTCGACGTCGTACACCACGTTTAGACTCAAGGCTATGATTAGGGCTTTCTTGCGATGTTTCTGGAAAGTGTTTGCTTGGTCGAAAACACCGAGTTTCCGCAGTCTCTTGGAATAAATCCTGCCAATATTCGTAGTCGGGTGTAACCGTGATTTCAAGATCGTACACATACTCGAAAAAGTCTCGAAATACTTGTGGTAGCCCATCAAAGAGATAAGTGAGCTTTCTTTCTTTCTGATGAATAGCCTGGCATGGATCCTTGGTGGCAATTTGCCAATACGCCTTGTTCTGATTGTACATAAATGCGATCGTATAAGAAAGCGCCTCCAAATCATCTGCGGCTCCAAGATATTTGCCTCTGTTATGCGAAGCGAAGACGATATTGCCTTCCGGCCAATCACTAGGGACATTTTCTCTCTTATCGAAGCGCGGTACGGCTAAGCCGAAATCGATTAACCGATATTTACCATTAACGTTTACGATGTTCCCGGGATGAATATCGTTATGGATATAACCGTACTCATGAATGACCTTCAGAATTTGAAGAATGTCAGCGATAATGTGGCAGGCAATTGGTACGTCAACCTTGTTGATTTTCCTACCAACCATGTTAGTAACAATATATGGACGTATTGAATCGAAGTCCTCGTATAGTAACTTCGGAATATCCTTGACGTCCTTGAGTATTTTCAATGCTTGTGATTCACGCTCCAGAACTTCCGAAGTGAAACCGAAACTGAATTTGAGGGCGACTCGTTCATTACATACAGTGCGTGCTTCGAATATGACAGTATCCGACCCAAGGCCCAAAAGCCGAGACGCCTTTATGTCGCCGTCTGCTGTTGTCACGAATGGAAGGCCGTGTTCTACAAGCATTTCGTAAAGGGCTTCGGTTCTGGCACGTCGATCAAATAAAATATTAAATCCTGAATTGTATGAAGCCATTGAGGAAATGTCTTTAGTTGAACCTATATTCCCGAAATTTCGGGGAGACGCAGCAGCACGCAGATCGATTGTAATAAAGGTTTTGAATACGCGCGCTAAGATACGTAGAGTGTCCCTGCCAGAATATGCTGTTTCACATTCTTGAGACCAAGCAAAGTCAGCAGTCTCTCTCACGTTCATTTGTCTTTGTTCATCATTCCAGAAGGCATACCACAGTCTGTACTTCCTTGAATCAGTCATGATAGAGATATATTTACGACGCCGATTATTCTTGTCATGTATGAAGAATTTGCTGGAATATTCGTAACATTGAAGGGCTGCTTTGTTTGTGTGAGCACTTTGCCAGCCCGATTTGTCCTCGAATGCCCAGTTTTTCGTAAAGTCGATTGTGGTGCGGCTGCTGTCACAATATTGCGAGAGTTCTCGGTATGTAAGGTAATGGTCAGCAGCAAAAACAAGCCCTCGAAAATAGTTTACAAGATTTAACGGATGAAGAAGAGTTCAATAAAATTAAAGAAAAAATCAGCCAAATTAAATAATTATGAATAATAAGTCAATCAAAAATATAAAAAACGCTCAACTCTGAATTGAAAATAATTATCCTTATGGTATCCAAAAAAAACTGATCATTAAGAAAAATTATCGTTTAGGCACCCGTTCACTCAACTCTTTATCCCTTTTAAAATTAGCCCACAAAGCCAGTCGCAAGGAGGTTTATTTGTGAAAAAAACAAACTTACTACCTTCTTGACCACCATTCCGGGTGTCTCGAATAACAGTTAAATCAAAGAGCTGCGCCAGAGACTCGTATACTCTTTGAACTCATGGTTGGATTTGTCTACGCTCATCAGTCCACTGAGGGTTTGGGGGGTCATTGGTTTCGAAGTAATTAAACTTCTCATCGACTTTTCTTGTTTCTTCGGCATCCAGATTTTCCAAGAATGAGAAGTCATTGCCTATATGGTCATAACAATCGTCTTCTCGCATTTTAAGAGCAAGTGAGGTTACCGATGGGTTGACATATCGACACTCGAATCCTAGAGAGGAAAAAATCAAAAAGTAAATACTCTCGACTTTCTTGAAAGAGCAGCTACAGAAATATTTATAATAAAGAAAACTATATTGCTATCCTAAGCACACACTACTCTATGTCCCCAACGCCCGAGTCACAAAGACGTTACCTGGTTGAGCTATCACTGCCGTGAGGGCTCGTTGCAGTTCCTCCACCTGTGCTATGCGCTTTGCCTTCTCCACCTCCAGGCTCTTCTCCTTCTCCGTGAGATCCGCCAACAGTTGTTGCTGTGCCGCGTTTAACACTTCTCCATTCAGCACCTTCTCCCTCAACTGTTCCAGAGACTTTCCTCCCTTTCCCTCGCTAAACGCCGTCACCGCAGCCTTCGCCTCCTCGAGCTCCTTCTCTGCCTTCGCCAACTGTTGTTTGATGTCTTCAACGTTTGCCATTTCTTTTTTCTTTCGTTAGAGTAAGAGATGTGCTGCGCGATGTGATCTAATACCGTAATATACTAGTGGCTTAATCAATGACGTAATTATTACGAACATTTCGTCATTGCTGCGATTATCCATTGTATGCAGAATGACCAATGATAATTGATGCGCAACAACGCGCATTTGTCTATTTAAGCATCCTCGCAAGATTTATTATAGAAGCAAGCACTAGTCGCTTACTTTCAGAAAAGCAACCACAACGCATTAAATATCGTTAAATAACCAAAATATATCAACAAATATATCAAACAATTTCATCGATTACGCTTTGCGAAAAATGTTCACAAGCGAATTCTTCCTTGGAGTGTTAATTGGTTTCGTTCTTGGTTTATTGGTAAACTGGCTAATCTGTAATAGCCAACTCTATCGTACTGGCGCATTATTTAAGACTGGAGAGTCAAAAAAATTACGACTTATAACAAAACTGTCAGCAAACAAAACTTACTCGCCAGACCTTGAAACGTTGTGGAACAATCTAAAACAATTATACGATAAAAGAATCGAATTGAATCCAAAATTTTCATTTAACGAAATGGCTTTCGAAATCCATAAATTACTTGAAGAAAAAGCTGTTGCGGCTTCTACAATACGAAATTTTTATCTTCGAAGAACAACCCCGCGAAAAAAGACTATTGAGGCGATTCAACTTTGGATATTGCCATTTGTACAATGTGGTTTAGCTGCTCTTTGTCCGAAGATTCCAATTTACCAATTATATCCAAGGCAAAATCTGTCAATTCTTCAAGCTGACATTTATCTTCTTCAAGTTCCAAATCTCTTAACTTTCTTTTTTTAATCTGATGATCAACTTCATTATCCTCATGTGTCCCATTCACTGTTGAGATCAATCTCTCCATGATTTCAAAATCCAATTTTCGTTTTATTTCTACCAATTGTTCGTATTCATCCTGACCTCCTATTAATAACACAAAGAAAGATTAAACCATTTTAATTATTATTGTAAAAACAGACATCAATATTCTTTCAAAACTCACCCAGACATATAACCACTTCCAATGCTAGTGTTGATAACCTCTGTAGCTTTTCATCGTTCCATCTTCCGTTTGATTGAGTAATTGCATGTGCATTGTAATTCCTCACTAGGACATTAATAAATCAGACGGATTTAATTTATATTGACCTGACATGCCATTCCTGTTCTCTGCCTTGATTTCGATGGAAGTTTAGTTGTCTACACTCTGCTGCACAGTGTCCCATCTTACCACAATAATAACACTGAAAGTTAGTCATCTGTTGTCGCTGTCGAGGTTGGTAGCGGTTGTTCGAGGTCGATTGTTGTTGTACTGGGGCCGTTCGTTGCTAGCATTCCCTTGATTGTTATTATTTTTGTTCTTTGTTTCCGCTACTAACTCTTGCATTGTTGCCATTAATGCTTGTAGCGCCGTATCGGTTGCTGTATGAGATGGTTGGACATTGGTTTGAAACGCATTGTAGCACTGCGTTGCTACCTTGACTGCATCGGCAATTGTGGTCGGGGCTTGCTGCATCACTGGTTCTCTAATTGCTGGGATTAATCCATGCACGAACTTATTTACCTTCATCCATTCGGGGATAACTCCATCTCCACACTCCATCCATTGTTCTTGTAGCGCATTGTAGTATTGGCCAACTGTCTCTCCAAGTCGCTGGGTTCTCATAAAGGCTAGTTGGGACGCTTGCGCTCTATTATCATCATTAGCATACTTATCCAAAAATAACTCCTTAAATCCGTCTAGATTATTTGCTCTTTCCCATGTAGTTGGTTTTGCCGCTAACATAATGTACCACATTTTGGCAGGTCCGGAGTTTAAAACTGCCAAGCCTATTCTTCGTTCATGAGCATTGGCTTGGATGTTATTAGCAGTGAAGGCTATTTCCATTTCGCCTAGCCATTTACGCGGGTTTGTTCCGTCAAAAACTGGATACGTTGCTTGGGACATTTCTTCGTCGTCTGCTTGAACAGGTGGTGCTGGGGGTATAGGTGGATTTGCTGGTGGAGCAGGTGGATTTGCTACTGGTGGATTTGCTACTGGTGGTAAATTTAGTGGTGGATTTTGGTTATCCGGTTCTGGAGTTGGGGCTCTAGTTGGTGGCTGTGATGCTTCGGCGTCGTCTGCTTGGTTTTCTGGGTTTTCTCGGTCACTTTCTTGATTATCTTGATTGCCAACTACTTCGTCTTCTGTTTGGTCGTTGTTACCTTTTTGTCCTTGGTCTGGTAACTGATTCTCTGGTTCAGCTTCAAATTCCTCGTTCTCAACTGGATTGTTTAGCGGCGCGATATAATCTAATAACGCGTCTACGTTTGGAATGGTTTGATCAGGGATTTCGTTAGTATCAAGATTTACCTCTCTTTCAAGAGCTTGTAAATCTTTATATACTAGAAGAGCACGTTGTTGTAGTGACTCTAAGGCAGATAACTCGCTTGCTCTTTCTTCTGCGTCAGCTGCACCTAATGGTCCAAATTTAAATTCTGGTTCTGGGGTATGATATTCGTCGTTGGATGCCTTGCTACTAGTAGAGCCGATCGATGTTTGTTCCTTTTCTTTTCCCTTTTTATTTGCTGCTTCGTCTACTTTATCTTGCAAATAAATAACTACTTCTCGTTTTAATTGAGCTGCTCTTTCAGTAGATAGTGATTGATCAACGTTATAATCAAGTAGCTTGAGTGACCCTTGTGCAGACGTTAAGGCGATTATTAGTGAGTTTACTGTTCTTGGAGGGTTAGGGAATACTGTTGCTCTGATTAAGTGGATTGCTGGTGCAAATTTTCTTTCTGCTACTTGCCACTCGACAAATCTTTCGTGCGTAATTCTTGATACACGTCCGTTGTATCTTTTTAGAATATCAAGATATCTTTGGTAAGCAGGGTTTCGCTTAGGTCTGGATAGCAGGTTATACACGCGTTGGAGTGAAATTTGTCTAAGGCGTCTTTTCGAAACGGATGCGCCCTTGGAATATGTCGATGTATGTAGATATGCTGGTAGAATACCTCCCGGTGGACGTATAATTCTTGCTGAATTTCTTGAGCTCTTGTAGATTTTGCCAGGGTTTCTGAGTTTTATCTGTAGGTTCTGTATTCGTATAATTCACTAGGTGGACTATTTCTTTCCACGGAATCCCCACCAACTGTCGTGCCGACTACTGCGGGAGAGCAGAAAGTAATCGACACTTGGGATTTAACTAGTCTCGACGGAGCGTGGCGC